CCAGTATTTTATTTCCAGTCAATTTCAGCTAATTATTCGTTAAAGTACTATATCTGCACTACAACATCACTGAAAACAAAAAGGGAATAAAAACTAATGAGATATTTGAAATAAGCATTAAAACAAGTAAGGTACTGCGGTTTTGCAATGTGTTCCCTTTCACTCTGAGGTTTGCTAAAAGGGTGTGTGTGTGTGTGTGTGTGTTGTAGCATTTTATTATCGTTATTCCAGTTTTAGAAATTAAATTCAAGGTGAATTCCAAAAAAAGAAAATCAAAATGTAGTGACAGTTACAAAAAGATTCAACGTAACACTGCCTTATTTACACCAACACTTATTAGCTACATGCATGTAAATGGTTGGTGGAAAGATTAAGACTGTCAGAAAACATTACTGTAAAGATAATTAGCTGGGTAAATTAAAAGCACACATTCTTGCATGAGACACTAATTAGTTGCTCAAGAAAAGCCAGATGTTGAAGGAAGATAACGTACACCACAGCACAGACTCTCAAACATTTCCATTCAAACAGTTGGCAGCAATGGGATGGCTGCATTTGTAATGTATTCTACAGCGCTCCAAACACTTGACCCTAAATCATATTTATACAGCAGCAGAGAACACATTTGCTTTCAAAACCTGTGATGTACGCAAGCTATTTGAGATTACTGTAACTTTCCGAAAGGCATTTTGTTCAAATCCATCTGGGATGCTTATTCAATGTGCTGCGGTAAACATCTTTACCGCCCATTCCATGAGAAAAATGTACAACGTAATCCCACCACGCAGCAACCAGCTGGTCGTCATGAGAGCCCAGCTTCACACGGTTCACGTCTTCAGCAAGTACACTGCCGGCACAAAAGAAAATTTTGGGAGGCCGTTTTATAGAACGCGGTGGAAGCAGATCTTCACCTGCCAGAGGCCACAGTTATGGAGACAGAGAACAAAAACACCATCGCAGCGCATCACAAAAGCTTTGTCCCTTAGCATCCTCGAAAATGATTTATTGATTTGCCATCTGCTGGCAGGAATGATGGAAACAGACTGTGCGGCACAGACTTGTCAATCAATAGGCCAAAAGAGGGAGGCAGTTTTCCATGAGCTGTGGCCAATGGTCTGCGTTATCTCCACCGGCTGATTTTAAATGATATGTTGATTTAATTGGATTCATCATTGAGGCTACAAAATGTCAGAAGAGACTACTAACGTCAGATAAATTGACTCGAGTGATGTCACTGTTCTGATGAGAACTTAAAATAGGCCTGTGTAGCACGCGAATCATCTGTCCTTGAAGCCAGCAGCTCAAAACAACATTAGCCGCTAGTAGCATAGCACACATGAATCTAGTCAGCAATCAAGCTACATTTTGAGAGTTCAGGTCAAAAGATGTACTAAATTACTAGATATTCTTCAAACTAAAAGGAGATCAGAAGACAGGAAAGACAAACTTCCCTCTGATTTTCAGCTTAGGAATAAAACATTCAAACTATTAACAAGAAGCAGCACATCGCCCAAACGCAAGCTTAAGTTTGGTTCAGAATAATGTCCGAGCTTAAAAAAAGAAATCACTGCAGGGACTGAAATATTAGTGAAAATGAAGCGGTCTCTGTATTTGGAAAGTAAAACCTTCCCAGGCTTGCTCTCAAGGCTTCTGGCTGCCATGGCAACAATGTTGGTCTCAGTGACTCATCTTTTCAGTGTCTATCACACAACATGAGCGTTAAGCACTGCAGGGGGGAGGAAGAAGCATCTTTGCAATCTAGTCAAACCTGAAACTGTTCTTGGTCTGGGTAATTGAGGAACACGCACAACTTCACCAGTATTTTGTTCATGTATCCATGTATCAAAAAAAGAAAGAAACTAAAACTACTCCACTGAGCCAGAGATGGTTTGAGTTGTCACCAGGTGACAAAAGCTATAATGTAATAATATGGTTACTTTGACCTGAAGCCTTACAAAGAATTAACATACAGTAACAGTGGAGCGCTGTGCCTGTGAACGTGGCCTATTTGTAGCCACAGACTCGTGCACTGTATATGAATCATGACTCACACAATGTGTGTGCTACTAGGCAACAGACGGCAAAATCAATGAACTTAGTTTCAACAGCTGTGACTGGTCCTAAAAACAGCCCCAGGGTAACACACAAATAAAAGTTACATACTTTAATAAATTCTTAATAAGATTTAAATACCGTAAGCAATCTTGTTATCTACGTGGTTCATTCTGTCCACATTACATCCATTGTAGTCTATACATCCCTCCTCCGCCATTCTCCCCAAGGTTTGTGTGCCCCCCCCAATCAAAGGTTTTTTCAGTTTTTGGAAGTTTTTCCTGTGCCACTTTGAGGGACAGAGGATGTTGCATGCGTGCAGATTGTAAAACCCTTTGAGGCAAATTTGCAATTTTGGGCTATACAAAATAAAAAGGAGATGCACGTAAAGTGCAAGACTGAAAATAAAACTCAATCGTAGAGTCCTTATTTACAACCGTGTCAGATTGCCACTAAGGGGGGGAAAAAATTAATCTCTCACAAATCAGTTTTTAGTATCCGTTATCCTGCTGATGGATTGACGGAGCAAACATACAATAGAAGACTTGGGTCTGCAATAGAAGGTCATCGTCTTTTGGAAATATTGTTAAGCACTAGTTTTTTTAATTCTCGGATTTTGATATCGGCATTGTAACATTTGCTTAATAGTAGGACACAAAAGTCCTCAAAACTGTACGGCTCTAGGGGAACCATCTGGTGTCGTTAGTTCAACACTTCCACGTACATCACGTGCCAAAAGCTCCTTCTCAGTAAACACTTTGCAGCTTTGTGAATACTGAACAACAAAACTTCAACAGTTATATATTGACTTCAGAATGCATTATCAAAAATAAAAAGTCTCAAAGACATCTGCTTAACTTAATAAAATGTACCTAATTATTCCATCGGCGTTCAAGTGAATAATGTGCACACTGGAATTTAAAATAACAAACACATTTCCTGAATACCGCACATGACTCATCTTTACGGTTGTGGTAAATTAAAGTGAAGATAGTCTAGTTGTCCATTTCTTGTTCGTCCACATGCAGTTTCATTCACGGTGGTGCAGTGCTCTAGTTTGGAATTCCAGTGCTTCTTTTTACTAGCAGCTCCCAAATGCATCATACAAGACTCAAAATAGTACACGCAAAATGTTCTCAAATGTGCTTAAGTTTCAATGACAGCAATCATAACTCATTCGTGACACATTTTGTTTTCATCGTCTTGAGGAGTTGCATCATGTTAAAAGGTTCCAACTACTTGACCAGACAGGCCTCCCTTTCTTTCAGTAAGTAGCTGTGCTTGTTAATCCAGGAGCATACGCTGGCAATAAGATGTTCAGGCTTGTCTGCATGAATCTGAACAAATGACTCATAACAACAGTTTGAATAAAATAAAATTAAAAAACATACACGCTGTTGTAAGATCAAACAAAAATGCAAAGTGTCAATACCACAAGTTTAGGTTGTCTGGATTACAACAAGACTTTAAAATAGTTTGTCATTACATAGTGTTATATGTTGTGATATGTCTATCCCTGGTATATTGCAGATTCAGCAAAAGCTCATATTCTATACTTCAACTTCACTGTATTATGCCAGCTTGTTGAAAACAATGCAACGTATGTACTACTCTACAGTGAAATAACATGCAAAAGAATGTCTATGCACACAGTGGAGCTTACACACACATTGTAGTAAATAGAACTTAAATAAACATGGTTGTAGGTTGGCTCACTTCTGTCAGACCTAACTGCAGGAAGACAAACAACGGGTACGTAGCCAGGTGCATGCTCAGATTTGTCATATTAAAGAGTTATTTGTGGACCGGCATAATAATCACACGATTATGCCAAACCACATCCGACCTCCAGCTCACATTCTGTCCTGTAATATCCACTGCACTATTCTATTAAGACGTATTGCTCGACCTGTAGTGAAATGAACACACCCAGCGCTCATACAGATGATCCCAGGGAAAGAGAAGCTCTAAAAACCAAAAGAACTGATATTCAACCGGCAGCACTGATTTGTCCAGGTGGAGGGACGGTCATACCTAGAATACATCGGTAGAATATCAAGTATGCAGTAGTATCCCTCTTGGATCGTGTGGCTTGTTGGCTGCAGGCTAAAAGTTCAAATTCTTTGGGAATTACTTGGGATGGTTAGTTACGCCATCTCATGTGCTGCTTTGTTGAGCCGTACCAGCAATCCTGCATCAGTCTCTCTGGCACAGGTTATATTTCTATGTTTGCACCGGCTATGGCTTTGTAAAATCCCAAATAACGACCTTGTCAAGCAATGAAGAAAAATATTGCTGAACCGTACAAACGTTATCTTTCCTGTCAACATAGTGGTACACCATCAACATACAGGAGAAAAGGCCAAGCAACACATTCAGACCAATCACAGGTCTCGTGCATAGTTTCGCCCTTGTACTCACTTTTGTGTCCTCGACAACACCTTGACACAAAGGGCATGAATCCCCCTTACCCCCTCCTTCAACATCTCTCTGGATGTCAATCCAGCACAGACTGCTCCAGTAAGGCTACTCAATGTCCGTATTAACAGCTCAACTTGGGAAGCAAGAACAAAGCAGCAACGCTGCAAGGGAAGCAACAACAACAACAAAAAGATCTGTGGACAAAATGCAGTATTTGATATTAATAGCACTAACACAATGCAACGCCCTTTGACAGTCGCGTATTTGTATGCAATGACTTGTGGGCAACTCGTGCACCAAAGATAGTTTCTAATGAAATATTGTCGAGTTTAACCACCGTGTTGTCGTTGTTCATCCGGTTTTCAAAACATATTAGTCTAAGATGTAGACGGGGAAGCTGGGACAATATTTGACCAAAAAAAATAACTTGATTCCGGTGTGTTGCCCATGGTCACGGGTCGCACGGTGTTACAGATCTAATAGCGCGTATTCATCCGACCGAACCCCCATTCGTCCTCTTACCGTACCTTTGAGCTGCGGCAGCGGCGAAAGCTCCACCGGGGCGCTCTGCGTGCGGTACTGAGACGAGCCTTGGGATTTTCTCTGTTTCTGGGCCTTCCTCATGGACTTTCTGGTGAACCCGTCCACTTTCTCGGATGCGGATATCGCCGACATTTTCGATGCATAAATTGGTGAAGACTTCAGGCGAGCTGTTTTGTCCCTAGGGCAAGTGAAAGTTGTCCTCTTCTGTTCGCATTAGCACAAAAGGCGCAGAGCCAACCGCACGACTCGAAGCTCGTCTCCTGTTCCGAGGCTGATGTTATTCGGTGTGATCCAACATGGTCGCTCGGTATGGTGGTTTAGACTATGTCCCAAGACTGCATCATTCGGATAACTACTGCTCTCGAACACGGGGACGGTCCTCAAAACACGAACCAAGAAGCTAACTTAAACCGCAACTCATGGCATTCTCCGCAGTTGCAAACATACGAAATTTATGGCCTAAGTTTCAAAAATTTGGATTTTTGTTTTTTTTATTACTGTTTCGTCATATTGGTAAAAAGTCTTCCGGTTGAAACACGTATTAAAGACATTGCCATGACAAACGTGGCCGGAATTAGTCGTAAAGTCCTGACAGTAGCGAACTACTGTACTGCTAGCATGCCAGCTAATGTATCCGACGCTAGCTAGCGTGCTAAAATTAGCCGACGTTTAAGTACGCCACTACTAAACAGTTTGCACCGCTGTTGGGGAAGACAAGTTACAAAGGATAGTTGAACCGTTAAATTCATGTAGTTCTTCGTATGAAACAGAGTACAAGTCTTCAAGCGCGTATAATGTATCCTGGCTGAACTTCCGTTCAACGTATTTTCAGAAGAGTTAATGTTTTCGGGCGATCGATGAAGTTGAATTTCGCTCGACGAACAAGTCTCATTTAACGTTAGCACATAAAAGTTAGCAGGGTACACATTCCGTCGACGTCGTCCCAACCACCTTCGTCGTTGAATAAAGGGCGGTAGTTCCGTTTTGGGGCCTCAAAAAAAACAATTGCTGGCCGTCGTGCTCAGTAGGCTAGGTAGCCATCACACACTTCCAGTGCAGCCGTTCAGACGCTGTCTGTCTCCCTTCACTGTTCGCTCGACTCAAGAGCCTGACAAGTGTACGTCATTGAGTGACGCCTCTGAGGGCCAATCACAAGGCGCGAATTAAACCACTGTAAACTTTTTATACCAATAAAGTCGCGCAGAACGAAGGCCCTGAACATGTGACATGCAAAAATAAATATGTGACGTTGTACAGTTGATTAAGGAGTGGCAGCTATGGAAGGTGTTAAGATTCATTTGCCTTATGCTTAATGTATTTTATCGGAAAAGGCCTTCTTACGTGTTTCATCCAACCAACTTTTGGAAAAAAACTGGATAACTATAAAATACAACATATACAACATTAAATCCACGGAATTGAAGAATGTAGTTTGTGGGTAAACGTGTTATAAAAAGAGAACCTTAACAGGCAAGACAAGCATTTCATTTACAGAACTTTTCATCCATTTGAATTACTTTAATCTCAAATAAAGCAACCCTTGTAACCATGCATTAATGATACGATTGCTTGGTGTGACTGTAATGTTATTACATCAGCACATTGGTCACAATGAAAAAAATAGTAAACAATAACTTGCCATACACCATGAAAAATCTTTTCAATTTAATAAAATCTGACAGCAAATTTGCATCAATGAAATACAACTTAACCAAGCAACAATCATTGGTTATTTTTGTACATATGAACAACATTAATGAAAGAAATATTTTGTAAATGTAGATTTGATTGAAAAAAGCAAAAAAAAAAAAAAAAAAAGAAAGCAACAATCTACACGCAAGCAATAAATAAACTTAGTGAAGTTCATAAAACTATATAAAAGATGTGGATCAAATAAATTGTATTTAAGAAGAATTTAAAAATCTTTCTCTGCATTTGAGGATTTGTACATGGTTGACCAGCTGAACAACTTTATTAAATGTGGATCAAGTATATCTGAAGCTGTCACTTTTGAGTAAAATTAAGGTTTTACTCAGCAAAATACAAGTTTTTTCAACCAGAGGTTATGTACAGCACAAAAAAAATGGTGTAGCAGGCAACTGTAAAACCCATTGCCTAATCAAAATAATAACCAGCCGTGCAATTATTCTGAATGAATATCAAGTTATGCAGCCCATGTTCACACACTGGTGTAACTTAGATTTTGATCAGTGTTCTTAGAAGCGTATTATCTGTCAATTCAGGTTAAAAATACAAAAAAACAACAACTATCATTTCAAACAGAGGCACGGACCATCCAACTGGCCAAAGTATCACTCCGGTGTCCTTGTGAAATACACAGAGATTTTCTTCATGTTTTGTGGTGAGCGGATCGTCTGAAAATAAAAGAATTCCATATTAATCTCAATAGATTTAAAGCATGCCCCTGCTTCTAAACATTAGCAACGATAATAAGGGACAGGCTGCAATCACCAAAAAAGTATTCCGTGCTGGCAGGCAGATTGTTGCCTTTGGACAGAGCTAGACTGGCAGCTTTTCCCTGCTTCCAGTCTTCGTGCCAAGTTAAGCTTACATGCAGCTCGCTCCTTTTCTTTGACATTTTTGCCTTCATTATTAGATTATGGACAGTATAAAGACGGACAGGAAATTTGGAGATAGCGATAGCGGGGTATGACATTCAACAACAGTCCCCAGCCGTAATCAAAGCAGGGATGTTGTGTTATGTGTGGTAATTATTCATCTTAAATTCGCCCTGGAGATACACGAGCGATATCGATCAAGAACACAAATGTTTTCGTCTCTAATCTATTTTTTCCCCGACAAGGAAAGTCTCTCTCTACATGATAGAAGGACTAACGACGGACACAAGGTAAAAACTTCTGCAGCAGACATTTGGGTGCTTACCGGGGAAGCTGGCGCCCTGCCTTCTTGTTTCTTGCAGGAGCTGGGGCTTCTGGGAGCACCAGGGCTTCCTTGACCTTTCCTCATCTTTTGGCCCATCGCCGACAACCAGTCCTGTTCTCTGGGGGAGCAGTTCTCCTTGCCCGTCTGTCTCGCTGAGGCTTCCACGTTGTCCTCGGCGTGACAGTCCGTTTGTGGGCGGCTCCCTTGAGCAGGGCAGCAGACCCCCGACAGGCCCCGGCTTCTCTTGGCCGCAGGGTGGAGTTCAGTAACACAGCCGCACAGCGCCCCCTCGCAGCCTGCAGATGCACCGTCGCCGGTCTCCAGCCTGCGTTTGGCCCGTCGTTCTGTGGGAGAGGGGCCGCTCGCCGGGCTCTGGGGAAACGGGCTCAGCACCCTACGGCCCAGAGGACTGACCTGACCGGGGGAGCCGCGGCTAGGGGAGGACAACCACTGCTGGATAGAAGATGGCGATCTCAGGCAAACGGCAGCGGCCGTAGTCTCCTGTGAAGGGACGGGTGAGGTGGTGCTGGAGGGCAGAGGTAACGCAGCTCCACTGGGAGCGCAGGCGGCAAGCTGGGGCGACGCCAAGCCTCCAAGACTCTCTGTCCTCTGGATCTTGGCAGGAGTTGTTTCAGCTCTGATTGAAGGCCCTTAAAAAAAAAAAATTAAAAAGCAGAAGACCTTTGAATGACACACATTTTGCATTCGTTGGGCAGGACAGTAGTGACTCCACATTTTCCCATTTCATGCTACAGTAAGGAAACAATATCAATACTACACCATTCCTAGAAAGACATACATATATATATATATATATAATATATATATTAGTTACACAGTGGTCATGAAAGCTGTTATGCTTACTTGAGGGAGACTTAGGACCACGTGCCCAACCCACAAGGTTGGCCTCTCCCACTGAAGATTGCGCTCCATCCATTTCCCGGTGAAGCCTCCAGATCCGTACAGTGTGGTCATCAGAACAGGAAGCGATCTGCAAACCGAGCAGAGATTTAATCCATCTTGCTTGCTTATCAGAACCGCTCGGCATCACAGCAGGGAACACAAGATCCTCACAATCGTGTAGAAAAACTAGGAACATAAAAAGGTTTCTCAGGTTACCTTGGTAAAATCAGTCGGGCACCATGCAACAGATGTCACTTCCTCGCTGTGGCCTTGGAGCATCACGGGAGGGTGCTTCGGATCAGAGATCTAAAATGGAAAAAAATGAGATCCAAGTTACTAAAATAAACGTCTACAATCCCCCTTAAACCGTACACACGCTAAAACATTGTATTGTGGCAACTACAAATAGTGGCAGTACCTTCCAGACGTATGCGTTATTGTCACTTGAACCACTGGCCAAGAACTGGTCGTCTGGGCTAATACTGGACTTTACATAAAATGAGGAGTTCTCGTGGCCGCTGAAGACAGCCACTGTGGATGAAAACAAACAAACCAAAATATGAAAATCCATTAAGACAAATTCAGAAAGCAATAGAGCAGAAAAAAATAAAGAACATAATACAATATATGACAGGCGCCTCAATGAAATGCAAATGGTTGACGTTCAGAAAGAACAGAATGACTATATCCAGTTGATTCAGAGCTGATTAGTAGTTAGATTAGGGCTCCACATCCCTCCGGACTTCACATATTGAAAGCTCTGACTCAGAGATATTAGACAGAATCCCTGCATCACTACGTTCCCTCTCTCAAACGGTCTTGCCTTGCTTTAACCTTGGCTCCACATGAAGGCTAGAACAAAGATTACAGCCCCATCTAGTGATATGCAATGGTAATCAATTAACTGTAAAATGTTTATTTCGGTACAGATACACAATATCTGCAGTCGTGGTTTACCTGGAGTTGTTTTCATCCCGCTGACATTGAACATGTAGATACTATCATCAGTGCAGTTACTTATGACGTTGGATCTCGTGGAGTCCAGGACAAGTCCAGAGTAACCTGCAACACGTGCAAAACCACATTCAGCTATTCGTGCTCATTTGCAGATCTAACAGGGTAAACACGGAAAGCAGCTTTTGGTGCAAAACTAACCCAGACGCATGCGCATGCAAGAACCCGGGTACGGGTACGCCTGCAGTGGAACAGGTTCCTGTCGGTGTGCGGTGTAGTTCTTCCTCAGATCCCACATCTTGATCACCCTGCGTTTCCGACGAAGTAGAAAATAAACTCAATCATGCGATTCTATTTGCTTTCAAAAGGTGTCTTGGATACTGGCTTGACGCCGTTTCTTACCCATCAACAGCCCCAGAAGAGATGAGGGTGTTCTGATCCCGAAACAGAACCACTGTGACACTCTGCTGGGTGCCCTGCAAGAGAGAGGAGGACGCTCAGCGATCGGCGTCCCTTTTGAACGGCTCAACTGTGCACGTCATTAAAAGCTGTTGGGAGAAACTCACCACACTGGGAGCCATGCCACGCGTGCTGCTCCGCCTCTTCTTGGTTTTGGCGGGAGTGCTGGTCACCGCTTTGTTATGAGCACCGCTGATCTGTTTCACTGGTCTGTAGAAACCATCTGAGGAGGAGGAGGACCCAAAACACACGAGATCCCCTGAATAATCTTCACGCACTTTCCAAACGAGGCCTTGTTTATGTAACGGTTTGGAAATTAAGATTGGGGTCAGACAATACACAACACCGTTGTAATTTAAATGTCTATTTGATACCTTTTTTGCTGCACCTGGTGTCCCAGACTATAATATTTCCATCTCTGGCCCCAGTACAGAACACAGCTGTTCAATAGAAGACAAAGCATCATCGTGTGTACAACAAAGCATCATTAATGCAAAATATATTATATTCAAACAAAGTTTCCCAATGACTTGCATCCATCTACTTAACATTAAATACCTAAAACATACCGGACATTTTCTTGATTTTTTAATCCAATTACGTCTGTTTTTTTACATCCTGGCAGTTACGAATATTACTGGTTATATAAAAGCAACGAGGGGAGAGTGATCAAAATCAAATGTCATACAACAATTAGAGTTTCCTTGTGTCGTATGAGAGAAAACAGGCAACAAGATACTCCAGAAACAGTATTTGGTGACCTGATTGTTTACCTTTCTCCCAGGGTGTGAATGCAACAGACTTGAGGCTACAGAGGTGACCCTTGAAGGTGCCCAACAGCTCCCCTGAGTTCACATCCCACAGCTTGGCCATCTGATCGCCAGCCGCAGTCACCTAAGGATGAGACATAACCCGTACAACGCATCTCAAACAATGCCGCAGATGACAAAAGGAGGACATCAACGAATGAGTCAAAATAATCTGTGTAACGATGCATTGATGCAGAATGCATTCAAAAGATGTCACAGAATTCATGAATTTGGAACTTACCAAGTGAGGTTCCCCTGGCACCCAGGCGATGTCAAAGACAGCGTTCTCGTGAGCCAGCCATTCTGCAAACATTCACCCACCTTTAGTCTGACGTTTTCCTAACGACAGAAATATTTAGAGAAAAAAAAATCTTTATACGTACCTTTAACAAGTGGCTTTTCCCGGCTCTCCGTGTTGTAGATCCTAACAATGCCTTCTTCATTAGCTGCCGCGAGGACGTTCTGCATGTTCCCTGCTGAAGAGAGATGCATCCGTTAAGACGGATAAATGGCAACGGCTCGTAGCTCTGTTGTGTGTCATCGGGGGATAATATATCATGGATGGGTGTGTTACCAGAGGAGAAAGCCAATCCAAACGGCGGCACGGAGTCACCCAGGCTTCCATAGGAGATGTGTTCATCGTGTCGGACACACTCGAAGCCTCCCAGTAGGGAGCTCAGAGGGTACCTGGGCCAGGGGTCCACAGGGAGGGCTGGGGAGGTCAGAGAAGAATCATCAGTATTGGTTATAGTTTTAGGACATGTTTCATGGCTGTGGTTCCTTATTATTTCATACGTTATGTTTAATAGGTACTTAATGGCTGGGCAATAACTCAGTACGATCCTTAGCTGGTGTTCATTGGAACTTGGTAAAAAACATTTTACCAAGTTCTGTTTTGAATAACCCTTTGGGATTTACAAACTGATTTTAGGAATCATAATTTTTAATCATAATAGAGCGCAATTTTGTGGATTGAACTTCGATATCTTTTTAGGATATGATTTGGCCCAGATTTTACATTACACATTACTGTAGTAAAATGTGCCTACCAATATTTGTGATGTTGATGTCACACACATTGGAAAAGCAACCGTTTTACGCGATTTAACACCACACCACGTTTACTTTTTGCTCGTAACCCCCACGTCAGTTCGAGCTACTTTGGATAACGCTGAATTAGTCTGCCATTGGGAACAGAAATACCACCAAAGATCCAACTTTACAAAAGTCCAATAAAACATTAAGGTAAAGTTACATCAACCCTGATGTTAAACTAGTTTGATATTAGACAGCACTATAGACCGAAAATCCCCCCTCCCCCGAATAATCCCAAACACATCTAACCATCTCACCGTTCAACCTTCGTCTGCCAGCTCCTCTGTCTACGATCGAGCGGAAAAGCATCCCGGGGCCGAGCGCTGCAACGGGGGCGATGTGAAAAATGTTCCAATGGCACGGAGAAGCTCGTCGGATTAGCCGGTGCTGGGCTATTTTCGCGCCGTTGCTGTTGCTCGTCTTTCCCGCGAACCGATCTTCTGCACACAGGCACCGAATCCCCCGCTGAACTGGCGCTCCCGGCTGCCATTGGTTGAAACAGCCACTTCCTCACAACGTCACATCCGCTTCTTTAGCAACGTCACACCCGCTTCCTTTGTGGTTGGTGTCCTGTGAAGTTTAGCACAGCTACCAATGGATCAGTGTTTCATTATATTGCCTACCTTTTCTGAATATATGTTTTAATAGTAAAGTGTTTTCTACTTTTTAAATCATATAACAGTTGCCCTTTGTTTGGATTTCATGTTTGCCGTCATCATGCTCATAACATGTTTAGGTATTAATGTCACATGTTTTAAGTGTTGATTACATTGCATGTTATATCACGTTGATGTCTATGATAAGAATAGACCAGGACTCTGATCCTACTGAGACAGAAAGCATCCCTGTTTTACACAGATGTGGGCATTGTTGGGTTCAACTATTCGCTAAAACAATACGCAGTATGTTGTATATTATTTTATAAGCAGAATGTTTAGTCTGCTTAAACGTAGTTTAAGACGTTTCGTGTTATTACAGCATTATAACTGGATAGTTATTGCAAGAAGAACTTAAATTGTATTCATTCAAAATGGATTTCATTTAAGAAAGACAAAGTTGGCCTCAAAACCGTAACATTTTACGAGCGCTTTATTGTGAAAAACTAAAACTAGACCGGAAACGCCCTTGCCGTAACAGCCGGTTCGACTGCGTCTAAATCGCCGCTTGTGCATGAAATGCTGACGGCTCCTCGGCGCCGTCACGGCTGTTTTTTTGTTCTGGTGAAAAACACAACTAACCGACCATGTCGCTGTCCACTGCGCGTTCTTTCTTGTCGGAGGCTTGTTATGGCGAACAAGAGCTGGACGCCAATTCCGCTCTCATGGAGCTGGACAAAGGTGCGTAACGTTAGCTAGGTTGCTAACAATTTAGCATCGGTTGTAGTGTGCTCCTGTGTTTTGTTTATTCTCCGTGTGTGTGTGTGTGTGTGTGTGTGTGTGTGTGTGTGTGTGTGTGTGTGTGTGTGTGTGTGTGTGTGTGTGTGTGTGTGTGCTTGTTTTAAATGTTACTGTCTACACGAGGTCTCCCTGCTTTGTTGTGACCAGTGGAGCTGCTTCATTTGCAGGCTTGCGGTCGGTTAAGCTGGGAGAGCAGTGTGAGGCGGTGGTGCGCTTCCCCAAACTCTTCCAGAAGTACCCGTTTCCCATCCTCATCAACTCTGCATTTCTGAAGCTCGCTGACATCTTCAGACTCGGGTATGGATGCACAAAGCTTTAAAGAAGGTACAACTAACGTGTTAGTCAGAAGTAATGTTGATGCAGTCTGTGACCAGATCAAATCAGGTATGGATGTCTCTAAATATTGCACACACCTTTCAATACTATGCAAAACAATGATGCATTATAATATATTACATAACAGCACACCTAACTACATCTTGAACAATTATTATACAGTTATAGTAAGAAGTAGTATAGTAGCGTAACATTTCATAAAGGTGGAATTGAGGTGCATTAGACAAAGAAACATTTACCTTTTCATAATGCATTTTTTAAAGAAGAGCATCGCAAGTGAGATTACTTAAAGTTGAATAGTTACAGCAGCTCGCATTTATACAATTAATGTCGCATATTGGGCAGAAATTTGGTGATCTGGTGACACAAAATATTTTCATACTATGAAAAACCATATATTAAACGACAGATTTGTTCATTAACAGTAAATAATCCTAAGTACCGTGTTTATGGCACGTTATTAGTTAAACTGGTTCAATTGTATCACAGATTTCGTCTGTTTCTTTCATTTCAGGAACAATTTTCTGCGCCTCTGTGTGCTGAAAGTAACTCAGCAAAGTGAGAAACATCTCGAAAAGATCCTCAATGTTGACGAATTTGTCAAAAGGGTGTTTTCAGTCATCCATAGCAACGACCCTGTGGCCAGAGCCATCACTCTGAGGTAATACCGTGGGATCTACCAACATCTGGTAATGTGTCACTCCTGTACAGACCTGACACCTTTTGTTTCTGTTCAGGATGCTCGGTAGTTTGGCCTCTATTATCCCGGACAGGAAGAATGCTCATCACAGTATTCGCCAAAGTCTGGACTCCCATGACAACGTAGAAGTAGAGGCTGCCATATTTGCCGCTGCCAGCTTCTCTGCACAGTCAAAGTAAGTGGAAATTGTTGTTTCGCCTGAGCTGTGGTGCATATGTATCGGATGACGTTTTGTATATAATACATTTATTTTATTTTTCAGAGACTTTGCAGCAGGGATTTGCAACAAAGTCAGTGAGATGATTCAAGGTAATATAATCTCTAAATGATACTTAGAAGGTTACAGATCACTTTTACTAGGACACAGGCTATCCTGATTACATTTTTTCCTTGAATAATGTTAAATATTCAAAACAACATTTTAATAAATATTGAGGGGGTGCTAGTGTGAACAATGATTTCCACAGTAAAATAAATTCTCACAATTATCCTACAACTTTACATTTATTTTGAATACCACCTGAAGGAGTGTCTGAATGTCTCGACATTTGTAGCCGGCTCAAAGAGATATTCTGAGATATATTTTGTGTAGTCCCCAAATCACTCAATAGCCTTTAGAAGATTGGTGTCGGTAGGCTCTTTTCTGTCTTCTCTCTGTATACATGGCATCCTCTTATCTCTCAACCTCAGGGTTGGATACTCCAGTGGAACTGAAGCTGAAGTTGATCCCCATGCTGCAGCACATGCATCACGATGCCAGCCTGGCCTCCAGCAGCAGAGAGCTTCTGCAGCACCTGGTAAACTCCTACCCCTCCACCCCCTTGGTCATCGTCACCCTGCACACCTTCACCCAGCTGGCCGCCTCTTCCCTCATCGATATCCCAAAGCAGGTAAAACCCCGGCGAAGGCGTACCTCCTTGTTAAAGCTGTGTTATCGTATCGATACGGTTTCTCCTGCAGTCTATTACATCTGCAGTACACAATTGAGCCACATGAGGGAATCTGACCGTGTCTATTGGTCACATTATTGTAGCCTAACTTTACATTTGATGTAATATGAAAGGTTAGCGTACATTCTATTTAGAAAAGTACTCTGTGTATTTCTTTGTTCTCGTTTCTAAGGTATTACACATGTGTTTTCAATATCAAATAAAATGTTGTGTTATATCTTTTCAAATGTCTGGTTTATGTATAGTGTAAGATGAGATGGCAATTAAATGTTCATTAACTTTTCTTTTTTGCACATATTTGCCGTTCTCACAATTTACAGATAAGGCCTGTTGTGAATATGGTTGCAATGGTTTTTAAAAAGTGGGTTTGCCAGAAAAAAATTCTTTAGTGTTTGATCTAGGCGATGGACTCTTTATTTGATTCCTTTTCTCTACAGCTGCAGCTCCTCCTTCAATACCTGAGAGACGACCCAAGGAAAGCTGTGAAGAGACTCGCAACTAATGACCTGAAGCTTTTGGCTAAAAAGGCTCCTCACCTTTGGCTCAGAGAAAACACTCAGGTAGACCTTCAGATTCTGACACTGTCATGTTGCCTCGATGGTGGTTTAATCTCTCGAATAAACCTATTGTGCCTCATCTCTGCAGACCCTCTGTGAATGTGCCTTGACCAGCCCGTACAACAGCTTGAAGCTGGGGATGTTGGCCGTCCTCTCCACCCTCTCTGGAACAATAGCAACCAAGCAGTACTTTCATAATTGGACAGGTTGTGTTCACTTTTAAATTACGTGTTTAATTAATGTTCTTGTGACACTGTGGATTTCTCATGTGTGGAAATTTATTTAGACCAGGATTCAATTGCTGTTATTTCTGTTGCGAAGGGAGGAACGACTCCCGGCTGATAGATTCTCCTCTCAAACATTCTCCTCAGGTGGCCCTTCAGCTCCCCCTCGCCTCACTGACCTGGTGAAACTGGCACAGGAATGCTGTTACCATAGCAACCTGGCCATTGCTGCTCATGGGGTCATAGTGCTCTCAAACATTGCCATTTCCTGTCCAGAAAAAGGTTTGTCACAGCAAGTCGCTCTGAGTTAGGTGTTTGTCTCACCGGCTGCTCATCAACAGCGTTAATGCCCACCGCTGTGAAGGCTTAAGTGTTGCTGTGTTTCTCCTCCCCAGATATAGTACAGTTGGAGCAGGACACAGTTTTGGGAGTGGAGTCCCTTCTGATGCTGTGCAGTCAGGACAGCAGTCCCGGCTCACAGGCCACACTCAAAGTAAGACTGCTTTATAGCCGAGGCAAAGGTCAGCGATTGGATGAATTGCATTTGTGTTTGTATCACATAGTACAGAAAACTCTTTTATTTTCTCCGAACACTTGCATCAAATGCCTGGTCAGATTTAACATATTCTTTGTTAAATTTCTGATTTAAATAGCAGTGCTAGGTGATGTGTGGCTGCTTGTGTTGGTAAAACATTAACGGTTTGGCTCCCTTTGGTAAATTTAAATCGTGTCACTTTTCGGGCAAAAACAAAAAGCAAAACAGTTTTGGAAGCCTTGCGCATCAAAAGCTAAATGCTGCTTTAGCTTTGATGCGCGGTGACAGCCGCAATTACCCAAACTCACTATGATCCACCGGCCTGTAATTTAACATGAGGGTGTTTTCCATCATCCCACCCGTCTCTGCTTTCCTTTTCCTACCCTAGACCGCCCTCACCTCATTGGTCAAGCTGCTGAAAAGTCGACCCCATCTCAGCCAGTCAGCGGTGGAGTTCCTGCTCTGCCAGCTCCATCTGTCCTGTGACTCCTCTCGCGTTCTCATGTGCCACGCACTGGCGGCCATCGCCACCCACCTGCCGGTGTTGGGCGACGGTATGCTGGGGGATCTGGTGGACCTCTACAGAGTGGCCAGTCACTCCTCCACTGACAAGCAGCAAGAGCTCCTGGTAAGTTTAAGATTGGGGGGAATCGCGACACCGCTTAAGGACAATTAAGCTGTAATTGTGTGTTTATCTTTTGATCTGCGTATGCTAACGTCCTTTACAATTAGAAATGTGAGCCTAAGTATCACCACTCACCCACAGCTAGGTCAGACAGAGAAGCTGAAACGGCTTTAGCTTTAAAATGTTCTCATATTTATACTTTTGTCTCCGGGATTTCAACCCTCGTCCATCCCACGGCGTTTGCTGCAGGTTTCCTTGGCAACAGT